ATGCATACTGGAATGAATGTACATATTGTACATTCATTTCACAAATAGTACATTCAGTTTCCATGCACTACATTCATTATATGTCAGTTAAATTTATACATATATTCATTATATATCAGTGCAATTTATCCATATCAAGCATACATCTTACTTAAAATCTATACATATCACATATTCATTATACAGAAATAAAATTCATATCATACTTTCATTATACATAAAATTTATACATATCACATATTCTTTATATACAAATAAATTTCATATCACACTTTCTTTATACATAACATTTATACATATCACGCTTTCATTATGCATAAATATATATTATACATATCACATTCATTATACATATATACAACTTACACACATCACATATTCCTTATATAACTTCAATTTATTATACATATCACTTTCATTATGCCATAACTACAATTTATTGTTATAATAAGGTAGTAGCCTGTTTTGAAACACCCTTGTCCCCGGTGACTTTGGGATGTATTTAGCTCTAGCTATACATCTCACATGTATGACCGAGTTCCCTTGAGGAAATTCGTATAAAAGATCAAGACTCTCTGCTCATGAACATAGTTCATTGGAATAGCTTGAACATGAAATCTTTTGTTGTGTGGACAGCTCTCTCTTTGCTTGCAACATGCGAAGGGCTTCGGCCAGATTTACCTGTGAAGCTGTGTCAAGATGAATCTTCCTCGGTCTCTTTGACAAGTACTCGACTGCAAGGCAGTACCATTCTCTCCACCGTCACTCTCCTGGATGTTATACCTACCTATGTTAGCGTTACCACTACGGACTGTATATCGTACGCTATTACTCACACGGAAACGGTATCTCGATATCAGGCGCCACAGCTGGCTTACTCCACACATTACGTCACCCAGATGAAGATCCAACAGAAGAATCGGGCATACACTTATACCAGCTATCAACCCGAGATCATCAGCATTACGTACTCGGCTACCGATATTCAAGAGCACGTGACACAGGTTGTGGGGATAACTACTGCCACAACTGTATCAACAGTATCTGTTGTGAAGACTGTGACCGCCTCCATTACAACTACTGCAACATACACTCAAGTCGATGTCTTCAGCTCCATCACATACTTACCAGTATATGTGACTACGACCATGACTAACGCCTGGCCAATCCTCAAGACAGTTTACCAGACAGAGTATATTAAAGAGGCAGTCGGCTACGTGACAACGGTTATCGAGACATCGACCGCATATCACTGTCATGACGCTTATAAGTATTAGTCGAGAATTATGAATAAATGAATTCATTCATGAACAATTTCAATTACACCAAAGGAACTGAGGAAGAAAGATTCCGCAATCATTATGCATACCACACATTCATTAGACATGCCACACAGTCATTAGACATGCCACACAGTCATTAGCCATGCCACACAGTCATTAGCCATGCCACACAGTCATTAGACATGCCACACATTCATTAGACATGCCACACATTCATTAGACATGCCACACATTCATTAGACATGCCACACATTCATTAGACATGCCACACATTCATTAGACATGCCACACAGTCATTAGACATGCCGCACTTCATTAGACATACCACATAGTCATTAGACATGCCACTCTTCATTTTGTATACCGCACATTCTTTTCATATCTCTTCGCATACAGTACAGTCCCTTCACATACAGGGCAATTTCTTCACATACAGTATTCCTTTCACATATAGTATATTCCCTTCACATATAGTATATTCTCTTCACATATAGTATATTCCCTTCACATATAGTATATTCCCTTCACATATAGTATATTCCCTTCACATATAGTATATTCCCTTCACATATAGTATATTCCCTTCACATATAGTATATTCCCTTCACATATAGTATATTCCCTTCACATATAGTATATTCCCTTCACATATAGTATATTCCCTTCATATATAGTATATTCCCTTCACATATAGTATATTCCCTTCACATATAGTATATTCCCTTCACATATACTATATTCCCTTCACATATACTATATTCCCTTCACATATACTATATTCCCTTCACATATACTATATTCCCTTCACATATACTATATTCCCTTCACATATAGTATATTCCCTTCACATATAGTATATTCCCTTCACATATAGTATATTCCCTTCACATATAGTATATGTGACTAACACTTGACCAATCCTCAAGACAGTATACTAGACAGAGTGCATTAAAGACGCAGTTGCTTGTCAAGGCATCGTCAGCATATGAATTCATTCATACACAGTTTCCATTACACCAAAGAAAATGGTGGCCATGAGAAAGCTGATTGAGGAAGATAAAATGTCCCATTTCCACTGTGCATTTCTATATACGTATGGTTCGTTTCATTGTGCACACAGCACATTTCTTTCAGTAGATGGCATTAATAACAAGTACTTAGTTGCTTGATGACTCGTGGCAAGACTTGTGGAATGCTTAGGAACTATTTTATATTCGTAATGTTACTAACAAATTGTAGGATTAAAAGGCTGTATACAAAGTCCAGATCTTGTGTGGAATTTACAGCCATTACTTGGCAAATTATGATGACCATATATATGCTGCCTATGATTTTATTTAAATATTTCAGAAAGATATCTATCAAGCGTAGTCTATCTATCACAAAAAATAATCCGTATATCAAAAAAAGGATCTGTGCAGATATGTACAATTACTGCACCTCTATATCTCTCTCTTTCCTTCCTTCTGTCTCGCTTTCTTTGTCAGTCCATTTATCTATCTCCCTTTCTCTCCTTTTCCCTGCCTCTCTCGCTCTCCCTCCATAACTCTCTATGACCCTTTCTTAGACTCATAATCTCTCTTATACTTTATTGTAAAATATTTACGTCATATTTGGTTAGATTTCTTTTTACAGACTAAAAGTTTAAATTCAAACCTTACATAATCTGATCACCATATTCACGTACTATGTCACATAGTATATATATATAAAATATACACATATACACATATATAGAATATATACATACATATATATAATATATACATACATATATATAATATATACATACATATAAATAATATATAAATACATATATATAATATATACATACATATATATAATATATACATACATATATATAATATATACATACATATATATAATATATACATACATATATATATCACAAAAAGTTATTTATCAGTAGTCTTTAGCCACCCATGCTTTGCCTTTGAAAGTTTGTAAGGACTGAGCTTCAACACTGATGTTACAAATGATTAGATTCCATAATTTGGAATATTTGAAGAGAAACTGTCCCTAGCAGTGTGCCGCGTAACAGCGAGTGCGCCGGGTGCTTGTTTCACTGTTCTCGTGGGGCGTACAGCTCGTCTTCCTGGCAATCAATGGGTTCATACTTCAAAGTTGTAACAATTGTCACGGCGATGTGTGACATCTAGTTATTGAGGTACCTTGAGTGTCCGAAAGGGACGTGTTATCAAGATGCAAACAAAAGCTCTCAACGGTCAAATATTAAGTATCCATTTTGGATATTCGATAGTTTCAAAAGCCTGTTCAAAGTCTGGTGAGCAGGTACTATGGCTAATATTGTTAATTTTGAAGTGAGCTCTGTATACGTGAGTGCTCATGATATATCTGTCTGTCGGTTCGTTTGTTTCTCTCTCTGTTATTTACTCACACCGTGCTGATGCCCATAACCTGCGACCATATCCTTGACGCACGCAAACACTCCACAACTGAGTCACGCTCCAGCTCGTACGCTCCCTTCTCCTTTGGGCCAACACTTCAGCCCCCCCCCCCCCCCCCCGACTCTGTACGACGACAAATCACAACAGCCCCCACACAAACTAGAATGCTAGAATCCCAACTAGAAGGACCTCACACTCTCTTTTTCTCTCTCCCTCACCCTATATCATTTTCTCACTCTCACTCCCTTTCCTCCCAAATATTTCTTTCTCTTACTCTCTCGATTTTCTCTGTCACATACACTCTCTCTATCTCTCTGTTACTATTTCTCTCGCACACTCTTTACTCTATACTCCCCCCTCCTTATCTCCCTTTTTTCTACCGCTGTATTTCTCACTGCCACTCTTTCTAACTCTGCCTTTCTCTTTCTCTCACTCTCTCGCTTTCTCGCTCTTTTGCTCTCCTTTACTTCCTCCCTCCCCCCTCTCTCTCTCTCGTTTGTTCACTCTCCCTCCCCCCCCTTTCTCTCGTTTGTTCACTCTCCCTCCCCTCTCTCTATCCCTGCCTTTCTCTCTCGCTCGTTCACCCTCCCTCCCTCGTTCCTCCCTCTCTCTACATTGACTCCCGACACCCAGCAATATCCGTTGAGAGCCATAACACACTTAGTCATCATGCTGTATTAGTTTAGAGTGCTCAACATTCTTATTTATAACCTTTGGCATGTTTCGGCTGCCACCACGGGATTTAATTGTTATCCCGTCTGGTGGTGCGCTCAGAGGCTAGATTAGCATAAAAGAAATTACGTGAAGTCAACCTTCAAACTTTAAAGTTTATTAAAACCAGTAAAAGTAAGACAGACAAAAACATGGTTAATGTCACCGAGAGCGACACACAGAGACAGAGGAAAATGGACACTACCATCTTATAGAGTATATAAAATAGAATAAGAAGTAATGAAGGTACATCTGCAGCGGCCTCATAGTTACATCCTCACACAACCAGAGTTCTTAATGTCGCGTTCTCTAAAATGATCGCGTTTTCTGTCGACAAACCGGAAATCATTTCCGATTAGCTATTTTTATCATTATTTTTTTCTTATTCCTCATTATCTTTCCTCTCGTGTTTGGATGCTAGACCTTTTGTTTTGTTGCTTTCTCAAATCTATGTGCGTTTTCATTTCGTTTTTCCTGATCATCTATATTATCCATTCTTAACTATTTAACTTTACTGCTTGTTTACCTTAATTACCTCCAAGGTTGGAATATATCTCAATCACTGCTTCAGTTTCCTTTAAGCTTTTGTCAGGGCAGAACCTTCAAACTTCTGTGGTCAGTGACATGGGGTACATTTGATTTTATATTAAAATATTATTATGTCTGTATTGCGTCGATTTTATCATCATAGACCATAATAGTGTTATTGCTTTTTTATGGTAGGTACGGTCAATTTTTGCAACGTTTGCTTGCTCGATGTGTCGGTCGCACAGAGCTTTTCTCACGAATCTGCACGAAGCGATCTAAGAATCAATTCAATGTATAAATTGAAAAGTCTGGAGACACAACACACCCTTTTCGAACGCCCGTTTTGATGTTTATATATTCATTGTGCTCCCCGTCTATTCTAGTACATGCAGACTGTTTCCAATCAGTTAGAACAAAGACAGCATTTCTGGTACCTGCATCTCTGACGATCCAAACTGCATCTTTCCAATTTCAGGTGATAACCTATTTCTTGCTCTCAGAAGCAGAACTCGGAGTATAATCTTTGTGATATGGCTCATAAGACTGATCGTTCTGTGAAGCTCACATTCCACGGCTCCGGTCTTTTGAGGAAGTGCAATGAAAATGGATTTACTCAACTCATCGGAAAAGACACCATCGTCATAGATTTTATTTACTACTTCTGTCAGTTTTTCAATACCATAATCGCCAAGTGCTTCAATCATTTCCATTACTATACCATCTGGACCAGCTGCTTTGTTTATCTTCACCCTCCTTAAAGCTTCCATAATTTCTGAGGGCAGGATCTTTGGACCTTTCACCGATTCTGTGACCCGTGGTAGATCTATTCTCACATCATCGAATGATTCAGATATGTATTCCGTCCATCTACCAAAGATTTCATCTATCTCTACAAGCACAGTCCCATCTTTTGTTCTGATACACCCGGAATTTGAGCAACCTGTTTTTCTGTTTGATATTTCATTTATCTTTTTTGTACACATTGGGGTCGTTTCCTGAATTCAAATTTCGTTCGATCTCGACACATTTTCTATTTAACCAGTTCTTCTTAGCTTATGTGCACTTCTCTTTGATTCTCTTATCTAAATCTTTATATTCAGTACTTTCTCTGTTCTTGATCTTTTTTCTGCCGCTCACCATTGCATCTCTTCCGTCATCCACTTTTGCTTCTTATCCTTCTTCTTTGGCAGCGGTTCTTCAGCTGACTCTACCAATGTATTCTTTGAATTCTCCCTCGTTGTTTCCTCTCCTTGATCTGTTAGGTTGTCAAAGCGGTTCTTAACACTGACATTATACTTGTACCTAATGTGTTGTTTGTGAAATTGTTCATAATGCACTTTCTTCATGGTTTTAGGTTTGCTTATTTTCTTCAACTTACACTGGAGTTTTGCCACGACTGGTACATGGTCACTTGCTTTTGCTTGCTGGAGCTGAAGACATCGACCTCCAGGAGAGTAACGGTGGAGCTGACTTGCAACCGAAACAGAAAGACACACATGTTTGCGTGTGTGTATATATATGTGTGTGTGTTTGTGTATGCATGTATATATATATACATATATATTTGTATACATATAAAGGTGTGTGCGTGTGAATTTACGCATATATGTTTGTGTGTATGAATATGTATATGTAAATATATATATATATATATATATATATATATATATATATTATATATATATATATTTATATATAAATATATATATATTTATATATATATATTTATATATATATATTTATATATATATATTTATATATATATATATATATATATATTTATATATATATATATAACTATATATATATATATATATATATATATATATATATATATTTATATATATATATATATTTATATATATATTTATATATATATATATATATATATATATATTTATATATATATATTTATATATATATATTTATATATATATTTATATATATATTTATATATATATTTATATATATATTTATATATTTATATTTATATATATATGAATATATATATTTATATACATATATGCGAGTAGATAGATATATGTGTGTCTGTGTGTGTTTATGGATATATATATGTGTGTGTGCGTGTGTGTGTGTGTGTGTGTGTTCATGTTTATACACACACATACACATATATTTGTGTGTGGATGTAAGTATATATGTATGTATGTGCATATATGTATATATATACATATATTCTCATTTACTTATTCATTTGTATACATATATTTGGGTGTGAATTAATACACAAATGTACACATAGATATGTATATAAATAAATATTAATGAACATATGCATATACATATATACTTACCTATGTATATATATATATACATACACACATATACACTCATACATATATGTATATATATAAACACGCACACACACACACACACACACATATATATATACATACATATGTGTGTTTGTGTGCATGTATAAATGCGTATATATATATGTATATATACATATACATACATATATATATGTGTGTGTGTGTGTTTTTGTGAGTATATATATACATATATACATAAATATATATATCTATATATCTAAATATCTAGATACATATATATATATATGTATGTATAAATATATGTATATACATATATAAAAAATAACAGAAAGATAAGTATATCTTGCACGCACACAAATACGAGTTTGTTTACATTTGTCTGCATCTGTATTCCACAATGGATAAATGCTCCAGGTCGCCGCAGCCCTAATTTCGCCAGGTAAGAATTCCATTACTTCACATCAAGATGGAGATCCTGCGTCAAAAATGATAATGCTAAAGAAGATAATAACGTGCCTTAATGCAACGACGTGAGATTCATAATCAATGCATTTTGCGCCTCCAGGCGGCTCTCGTGCTGATCGTGGCGGCCTCGAACACCTTGCTCGGCTTCGTCATCGTCTTGCCCAAACGCCAAGCAATGCTGGCAAATTCAGCGTGATTCAGGACGAAGTTGCTTGGCTGACTATGTAGAAAAGGAACTTGTTACTGTGAATGTGGGTATTTACACATGAAGGTGTGAAAATTGTCAGGGCAAAATTCTATCGGAAAAATTATCTTTGAAAATTTTATATAGGTTAAGGCGTTCGTTATGTACGGTTGCTGATAGATGGAAGTGGCGCTGCATAAGTTTCGATCGAGGATGTTGTCATACACTTTGTCAAATTCTCGTGCCCTTAGTAGTGTCCCGAGTCCGCGACCTTCATAAAGGTCCTCTAGTATTCTGATCACGCTTCCCTTGACAGAATATTCATTCATCGAGCTAATTCACTGACAAAACCTCGTGCCGCTCCTCTTTCCACCGCTTTTCTGGCCTGACGAACCATCCTCAGACTTCGTTTCAGCCTCGCTAGACGGGCTGGTCTGCTTGTCCATGTGCTTTGTGAGCGGGCCTATAGTGGAGAGCTTGGGTCCCCGTTGGGTCGTGTTCCTAGCCCATTCATTACACATACATTCATTACACATACATTCATTACACATACATCCATTACACATACATTCATTACACATACATTCATTACACATACATCCATTACACATACATTCATTACACATACATTCATTACACATACATTCATTACACATACATTCATTACACATACATTCATTACACATACATTCATTACACATACATTCATTACACATACATTCATTACACATACATTCATTACACATACATTCATTACACATACATTCATTACACATACATTCGTTACACATAACTTCATTTATCTTTTATAATCATCACACATTCCTTATATAACTTCAGTTAATTATACATACCACTTTCATTATATCATAACTACAATTTATTGTTATAACAAGGCAGTTGCTTGTGTTGAAACACCCTTGTCCCCAGTGACTTTAGGATGAAATTACCTCTAGCTATAGATCTCACGTGTATGACTGAGTTCCCTTGAGGAAATTCGTATAAAAGATCCTTTTATACGAATGTACTAGTATTATTATCAAACCGTACCAGCTCATTCACTGTCATCCTTTAAGATTTTTTTTTAATTTACTGAAAGAAAAATCGTTTAGTTCTCCCATGCATGTTTATTAACAGTTGATAACGAATATAACGGGATACACATGCTTCGAGAAGTAACATTTTCCGTAGAGAATATGGTATCCTGACATCTCACTGTTTCTTTCTCCTCTCTTTCTTTCTTTCTGTATCTATTTATTTATATCTCTTTCTTTCTCTCGCGGATGTTTAGAGTTTTTGGCCATAGATATTACACTTATTATAGATATCACAATTACGATACATATCACATTTATTATAGATATCACAATTACGATACATTTCACATTTATTATAGATATCACATATATCGCATTCTTTCACAAATAGTATATTCCCTTCATATACAGAATATTCTCTTCATATACAGTATCAGTGTAATTTATACATATCAAGCAGACATCATATATACGTAAAAAATTAAAACTTTTTCTTTATATTCATCTTACATTCATTACACATAACTTTATTTTCTAATTATACTCATCACACATTCCTTATATAAATGGAGATTATACATGCATTCATTATACCATAACTACCATTATATACCATAACTATAGTTTATTGTTATAACAAGGTAGTAGCCTGTTTTGAAACACCCTTGTCCCCGGTGACTTTGGGATGTAATTAGCTCTAGCTATACATCCTTTCATATGGAGTACAATCCTTTCATATACAGTACAATCCTTTCACAGACAGTACAATCCTTTCACAGACAGTACAATCCTTTCACAGACAGTACAATCCTTTCACATGCATGCTGAAATGAATGTACATATAGTAAATTCCTTTCAGAAATATTACATTCAGTTTCCATACATTACATTCATTATATGTCAGTATAATTTATACATATATTCATTATATATCAGTGCATTTTATCCATATCAAGCTTTCATTATATAGAAATGACATTCATATCACACTTTCATTATATAGAAATGACATTCATATCACACTTTCATTATATAGAAATGACATTCATATCACACTTTCATTATACATAAAATCTATACATATCACATTTACATTATGCATAAATATATATTATACATATCACATTCATTATACATATATACAACTTATACACATCACACACTCCTTATATAAATTCAGTTTATTATACATATCACTTTCATTATGCCATGACTACTATTTAGTGTTATAACAAGGTAGTAGCCTGTGTTGAAACACCCTTGTCCCCGGTGACTTTGGGATGTAATTAGCTCTAGCTATACATTTCACATTTATGACCGAGTTCCCTTGAGGAAATCCGTATAAAACATCAAGACACCCTGTTCATGAACATAGCTCATCATTGGAATAGCTTGAACATGAAATCTTTTGTTCTTTGGACAACTCTCTCTTTCCTTGCAGCATGCGAAGGGCTTCGGCCAGATTTACCTGTGAAGCTGTGTCAAGATGAATCTGCAAGGCAGTACCGTTCTCTCCACCGTTACTCTTCTGGATGTTATACCTACCTATGTTAGCGTTACCACTACGGACTGTATACGCTATTACTCACACGGAAACGGTATCTCGATATCAGGCGCCACAGCTGGCTTACTCCACACATTACGTCACCCAGATGAAGATCCATCAGGAGAATCGGGCATACACTTATACCAGCTATCAACCCGAGACCATCAGCATTACATACTCGGCTACCGATATTCATGAGCACGTGACACAGGTTGTGGGGACAACTACTGCCACGACTGTATCAACAGTATCTGTTGTGAAGACTGTGACCGCCTCCATTACAACTACTGCAACATACACTCAAGTCGATGTCTTCAGCTCCATCACATACTTACCAGTATATGTGACTGCGACCATGACAAACGCCTGGCCAATGCTCAAGACAGTTTACCAGACAGAGTATATTAAAGAGGCAGTCGACTACGTGACAACGGTTATCGAGACATCGACCGCATATCACTGTCATGACGCTTATAAGTATTAGTCGAGGAATATAAATAAATGTTGAAATGATTCATATACAATTTCAATTACACCAAAGGAAAAACATTCAGTTCATTCATATACAGTACATTCCTTTCACATACAGTACAATCCTTTCACATACAGTA